ACCCGCCGAGTTGTAAATCACTGGGTCTCCTCCAACTCTCTCAGACTCCTTGACGCGCGTCGGGCAATCCCGGTAGACCACGCGTACAATGAACAGCGCCTCTCCTTGAAGCGTAAACTCGCAAACAGTTTGAGAGACGACAGAGAGACCTGGTGGACGCTACGTGCAAAGGAGACGGAATCAGCGGCCAGGTTTGGAAAGACCCGGCAATTATTCCAGCTCATCCGTGCCACAGGCTCCAAAAGACAGTGCGTTAGTGAAACAATCTGCGAAGTAGATGGCACTTTAATAAACAGCATTCACCGACGATTGGAACGCTGGGCGGAGCACTTCACATCGCAGTTCCACCAGGCCCCGCGCTGGCTGCCCCAATCAGTTCTCTTGAAATTGAACCCTGGCCACTACCCACGGGACCGCCCACAGAGGCGGAGATCCGAAAGAAACTCCAAGCCCTGTAACGCCACAAGGCAGCTGAATCAGACGGCCTGCCACCTGCCTTCTTTAAAGATGGTGAAAATGCTCTCGTAAGAGAACTTGTGAAACTGTTCTCGAATATCTGGTGAAACTGAAAGTGTACCCCACATATGGGGAGAATCGATTGTCACACCTATCTACAAGAAGGGCTGTCGCAACGCCTGTTCGAACCACAGGGGCATAAGTCTGATTCCAATAGCGCCGAAGCTGCTAGCGTCCGTTTTATTACGCAGGTTATGCCCATTCCATGAGAAGCAAATCCGCGACGAGCAGGCCTTGTTTCGTGCACGCTGTGGATGCATAGATCAAATCGTCACCCTCCGTCAGCTACTAGAACACCGCCACACATACAGACGACAAACCATTGTCGTGCGGCTTTCGACTCTATCGATCGCCCCGCACTATGGAACTGTTTGCGGAGATACGGAGTACCTGAGAAATGTATCTCACTCCTAAAAGCGTTCTATCACCAGACCTCGGGGAAGGTTAGGGTCTATGGTGAATTTTCACCCTCATTTCCTTTCACCAGTGGGGTGCGACAGGGTTGCCCCATCTCTCCGTTTCTCTTCAACTTTGCCATAGATAATGTCCTACAAAACGCGTTACATAAAGCAGCGAACGCTGGCGTCGAGCTTCTTCCTGGGGACAGAGTCCTAGAGTACGCCGATGACATTGCCTTACTGGGTGACAAGGCACCAACGATTCAAAAGCCGTTGAACCGTTTGGCAATTGAGGTTACTCCCTATGATATGGCATTTGCACCTTCAAAGTACAAGGTGTTGTTGCAAGATTGGCAGGAACCCATTCCTGCACTTTCATTGGATAATGACACTCTGGAAGTAGTCGAAAGCTTTGTCTACCTTGGAAGTTGCATAACGGCTGGCGGAGGCGTGGGCGAGATCTCTCAACGCGTGATCAAAGCTAGTGTATCGACTTGATTGGAAAGGTTAATCACGCCACAGATTTTGCTCCGGTTCGGTTCGATTAAATGTGCACCCATGTAACCCATCACACAGATGACCTTTGACATTTGCCCATCATCATGTCCCGATTTGGTCCGACGGCATACTTTGCACTTTGGTGTTATTGTTCTCATATCGCCTCTAAGCGTTCATGGTCCCACTCATCTGTGCGTCCTCTACCCTTATCGCCCTTGAACACTCTCTGTCCCACGCTTGCCATTCCCGGGCGTCATTACATACGAACTACCCCAGATCCGTTCCCCCACCCACGTTTTCGTTCTAGTACATTATCATCCCATCCTCATTATTTTGACCTTCATATTTGGTCATTCGGTTCGCGTGCTTAGCGGACTGCTTTGTTCCATAGGATCCCGTGAGCCGTTTGTGTCTCTTGCATTGACCAATGCCTGCGCTTCTTTATCGAGCACTTGCGATTGGTGTTTCTATTCCTTGAATCGTCCCTTTTCTAAGCCGAGTTTGCATTCCTTTTGGTGACCGCTCCGCAGGTGCTTTGTTCTGCGCCTTGACCTGCATTGTATTTCGTTCTTGTACCGTGGAGACCGGATTGGCCCACAATTTGAGGTATGGTGTTTGATTTTGTATATATTTGTCTGCTTATAGTACACGTAGATCGCCGACTTCTCATTATCTGAAATCGGACTTGGGGTTCGTATCTACGAGTCACTCAACCACTGGACGACAGTCCGGTACAGCTAGATTAACGTTTGCTAACCTGCGGCATCTCTGGCTCCGGCGCGATATATCCCTTTCATTGAAATGGCGTGTGTATTGCGCAACGGTACGCACCGTGTTGTTCTATGGCTGCGAGACCTATCCTCTCCGAGCAGATCACGTCCAGCAGCTATCAGTCTTCGACAACCGTTGTCTGCGCAACATCGCCCGCGTATGGTGGGAGCATCGCGTGAATAACGATTATTATATCATTATTATATTTCACACTTTTCTGAGGAAGACAGTGTGCCAAACAAATCATGATACAATAATCTTTATAAAAAAGAAAATGTTCCATGATTGGCTTGTGGCCGAGTACTGCCAGGTTGCCCTGGCCAAGGCAGGTGAATTTTCTCGAGGAATCCACAACGGGAGCCTTCGGCTAGCCAAAGCCTGACCCTCAAGGCAGCGGGGTGGTGTGTAATCCGTTGAGGGCCGGTGTCCAGATCATCGGATCATACGCCCTTTGGGCGGGTTCAAACGTCCAAGGTGACCAATACACCTCGATGCCCAATCGAGCCGGTGACCACTACCATAACCAGGAAATTGTGTGTGGTTCGTACGCCTCCTCATGGTTGACTTGGAATCAGGATTTTAGGCCAACTCCCTTAGGTGAACTACCAGTGGTCCACCAACCCAGGTACAGCCCCGAATGTTGGCTTTTGGTCCCTTTATTTGGTGGTAAAACACCTCCGCCACGAGAAGATAGCGAGTAGGGCTTCCTCAGCAGAGGCTATTCTAGACGCTTGGTTGTTTGAGAGCATTTCGCGAGGTGTAAGGGAATGGTGACCGGTCACAATTCCAGACACCCACCTCGACAATACTGAGGCTTACGGCAGCTTAAAAACCAACGTGAACCCTAGAGGATAACGTGCAAACTTGATGACGAAAATCGATCTCAAGGACCGTGTCTCTCTTGATTAAAGCTGGCCCACGTTTCGTTGGCATATTGATAATTTAATGTGCCATTTACTTTGCTTTCAGATCTGCTAAGCGACATGAATTCATGAATAATTCCCGCACAGCTTTGTTGCCTCAGTCGCGAATGTCATCATGACGACTGAACGGCTTGATGGTGAACCACCGGAAAGTAAGTGTTTTCATCCTCAAGTGTAAAATGCTATGATATAACACTCTTCAGTCTAATATCGTTTGTAAAAGATAATAAAAGTCACCGAGAGTTTCTACTTATCATATTGGCACATTTCATAGCTTGAGGATAAGCGTGGTGCCAACAAAACTTCACCCTATCTTGGGAGGCAACGGAGAAAGTATAAAAGTTTTGAAATTTGGGCAGCTACACCCCAACCGGAGTACGTGTCATCAATGAAGTCTCGGCACGCATATAGAAGGCTCCAATGGAATTTACCGATTTGAACCATTTATGGCACCGGAATCACATCCGCCTGCCCGCGAAGGATTGAGTGTACTCCAGAAATTTGACCGGAGCAAGGACTTGATCGTTACGGCAACAGGACAGAACCAGACTGTCGGTGTACAAACACCGATATTTTTGCACCTTGCATGAATGTGGTGAGGGAATCCGATATGCAATGCTGGGGTTAGGTTCAGTGTTCTATCTAATCACGGTCGCCAACTGGAGCAAGATGTCGTTGGCTGGGGAATATGCTACCCATATTATCAATACAGAAAGCCTCAGTATTGTCGAGGTGGGTGAGAGGAAGAAAAGCCGACATCCGGGGCTGTAACTCGGTTGGTGGACCTCTGGTGGTTCACCTAGGGGAGTTGGCCTAAAACCCTGATTCCAAACCAACCGAGAAGAGGCGTAAAAACCACATGCACACCTTCCTGGTTGCGGCACTGGTCACCGGCACAATTGGGCATCGAGGTGTATTGGTCACCTTGGACGTCTGATTCCGCCCAAAGGGCGTATGATCCGATGAATTGGATACCGGCCTCCAACGGACGCTGAGCTCCGTCATGTTGTCTTGCAGGTTTGGCTTTCTAACCAAAGGCTTCAGGTGGGGACCCCGAGGTTATCCCCTTTCCTCGGCCAGGGCAACCGGGAAGTAGCATACCCACACAACCTAGGAACACATCTACAGGTTTCTTTTTGTTCATATGTTGTGGCACATTTGCCAGTTCTCTGCAATTGGTCACGTGTTATAATAAATAAATAAAATATATTATCAATATCAGATTGCTATGGCAAGCAATACTTACTGGTACAGGTACTGCATGGGAGAAAGTCAAAGATGTATCTGGCACGAGGGTGTGAAGGCCCTGATCATGGGACTCGGTCCTATAGGTAGTGTAAAGCATCCTGGATGGGAACCTCAGGATCAGTGTACTCAGTGATTATAGACATAGTGATGAGTTAGCTGGAGTTGATTGCTTCTCGTCCTTGGATAACTGCTTGACCAACGACGGTAGCGAATCAAGGGAGATCACCGCACGCATTTCCAAGGCTCGAGCAATGTACGCAGAACTTAAACGTCTGTGGCGACGTCATGTTTCACTGAAGTTTAAAACTCGTGTATATTGTGCTACCGCTCGTTCAGTTATGCTTTGTGGTTGTGAGACCTTGAATTTGCATGTAGAATAAATCTGTCGTTTAGCAATTTTCAACAATCGATGCTTACGTAATCTGGCGCAAGTGGAATTGCGTGAGCAGGTTATTAACGTAGAAGTAAGTCGTCGGGTGTTTGAGAATGCATCGAACAAAAGCTTACTATTGCATGGAATTCAGCTCAATATGTTTCGTTGGTTAGGTCACGTTTTGCGTATGTCCGACGGTTGCCTACCGCAGTGCGCCTTGTTTCCAGTAGATGTTGGAGACTGGGAAAAGCTACGCGGAGACGAGGCATGAAGAAATGCACAGAGCGATTGGGTAAAGTAGGTATCTCAAGTCTTCCGGGTTGGGTGGGATCCAACAGACTTCGTAACCGCATGGTTGGAGACGCTGAAGGTCATAGCAGCAGTGGAGATCATGCTGTCACTTCTTATCAGACCAGAGTGCTTGAAACAGTATGTATGCACAGCTGTACTGTGCTCTCTGTGTGTTAACCATAGAGGTTCACTTTTTTCCCGTCCCTAAGAATAGGCCCGATCCCTATCCTCCTTACACATTCTCACTTACTTTGTGTGCAATATGAGAATGGCTGTGATCAGTGAAGTTTCGCTTCACTGTATTACGCTGTACAATGATGATGATGATGAGTCATATCCAACTCATTATGATACAATCTGTCGATTGCTTTCTTATCTAGTCTCTGAATTTATTTGTGAAATGGCGGTATGAACCAGAATACTACGTTTATTAAGAAAACTGAATTACATTACTGAACATCGTTCCGCTTCTTCATCTACTGGTATTTCTCTTCTATCCACCTTCGTTTACCCAATTAGAGCTGCTTCTGGAGCGCCAAGCACGAATCTTGATCGAGGATGCGGAAAATGTACGTGTATTTTTTTGTTGTTTCCAATTCACTTCACGTTCCGTTTACAGCATCGTTCGATTTTCCACAAATTGGACGTTCAAAGTTTGCGTCTATATGAATTTTACTATTCCCCCTTGGTCTATTGGACTCGGCAGATCAGTTTAGCCATTCTGTTCTTATTACCCTTTTTCGAATGGCCATCATCACTCACAATGAGTTCCGACATGCGTCTGCAACTGCCACGACCGCGTCTACCTTGTGGGATCACGGAAGCGATTGAGGCCGTGTGCATAATGACGCTTCTTGTCGATTCAATCATTTTGGTAGGTCTCTGAAAGGTTTTTATACTTTTTGTCTTGATTCGGCTTNTTCGGCTTGACTGGTTTGTGTGAGACGATGTCGGAGATGTGGTGATGGCGCAGTGGTTCAGTCGCTGTCACCGGCGTGCTTTGGTCTGAGGTTCGAGCCCCACCACTGCCATCCAACTTTGATGGTAGACAGCTTCAATACCACGCCTAACCTAGCGGGGCATTATGTGGTTCGTCACTTCGAGTCCCAGGACTTGGGTGACCGGTTTCCATGACTGAGCACCAGGTCCTCGTGACCATGATGTTTTCCCCGTTTGCTGTTTATCGCACTAAGGTATGTAATAAAAAATATATTGCATCAACGTGTTGACTTGACCTGATTGTGATTTGTGTGAAACGGTGTGGAAGTTGTTTAGTCGCTGTTACCGGCGTGCTTTCGACCCTATATTTGGTAGCAGGCAGTTTTTTGTCGTTCGATGCAATAAAATCGCCCAACCTGGCACGGCTTTATGTGGTTCGCCACTCCATACCCTGGGGCTTAGGTTACCGGTTTCCATGACTGAACGGCAGATCCTCGTCACTATGGGCTTTCCCTATCTGCTGTTCATTCACATCAAGGTGTGCAATCAAAAACATATTGTGTCAACATGTTACTCCCTGCTGCAAACCTTCGTTTTATCCTGCTAATCAGGAATCATCAGCGATACCCATTCCACTGGATTCACCGGGTTTCGAACTCGGACTCAACAGGTCACTCATTCTATGCAATTACCACTTGGGCTATTCGAACTGGCTGACTGATTTGAAACTTATCTAAGCGTTTAAAACAGTAGTAGCTTTGAGCTCATTGTTCTTGTCCATGTTGTTGCCGCTGCCATTGCTGTTTCTATCAGTGCCATTCGTATCTCCACGAATCAAATAAATAGTCTTGTAAAACACACGTCTATTATCCATGTTGTTTTAAAGCAAAGTCGGTGTTTGCATGCTGCTCGCATACAACTTTGGACAGTTTTTCAATCGCAAAGACTCCTCACGGGCTCGGATGATGCACTTTTCTCATCCGGTTCAAGTTTGAATAGATCAATAACTTTAAGAAAGCAGTTTTCTCATGATCAGACGGTCCACGCTTTCAGGAACAAACCAAAAACAGACATTCAAGTTCAGTTTCGCTTGTTCATCGTGCTTGACAATTTGCAAACGTTTCCTCGCCAACCAAGGTCACATCTCTATTACTTTTGGCACTATTCTGCTTTTATTGGTTCACTTATATAGGTTATTCACTAATGTTTGCTTCCTTTAATCTAATTAGCCATTGAACTAGCCGGAAGGGTGGGCTGGCGGATAGGGGCTTGTTCTTCCGTCTGCATTGGGGTTCTTAGGTCAGGTGACAATGTGACCTCGGCTTTGTCGCGTCATTTGATCTTCGGGTCGCGTCGGAATGTACACGTGATCTCCAGTTCCATTTGCCAATTCATTTAGTTGTTCGTACAGAGAATGCCAAGAGTGGAGTAATTTTCCGGTGTGATCAGCCTAGGTTAATGGTTCTGATTGATCCAAAGCCGAAGTTGTCTTTTTTTATCTTGATGGTGTGAACTAAGTGAGATGTAGTTCTGTCTCCCGGTTACCGAATCGGGATGATGTTAGTGAACTAATCGTTAGCGAGGACATGCGCTGTGTCAACAGCTCCGTTGCGAAATTCCACGTTTGTAGTGTACAGCGATATAGTCCTGCCTGCAATGACAGGGTAGGCGATGCATCTCTGGCTTCGCATTTTGTCTTTGATGGTAGCACCCAAATTTCATTTTTCAGAACACTTCAAGAGCAAAATGCCCAGCCCTATGTTTAAAGTGCTCATGATCTTCGACTTTGGACTATTGAATAGTGTTTCATTGAACCGAACTACTACTTGTTCCTGTTATTTTTTTCTATCCGTTACACCAGAGAACAAGTCATGTTGTCGGGTGGACACACCCTAAATGTGTAAGTACGATGATCGGATACTCAGGCCCTAACCGAACAGAAAAAACCCAAATGCTTTGTACTTGTGAACTTAATGTGAAAGCCGACAAAGTGCACCGGACAGTTAGTTCTCCATTGTCGGGACTCATCATCAGTATCGGAGGCTTCATGTATCATTTATTCTCCGGTATTAAACATTATTTCGGGGTTCTCTGTCAGGGTACTATGGATGCCGTATGGTTTTGGGTCATAATACAGCTTAATTAGGATAGAGNTGCACCGGTTTTGGTTGCTGTGTTTTGGCTACCCATTTGGATGAAGCAGTAAGAGAAAGACAGGAAAGTTGAAAGTAGAATCTAAGAGAAAATGGAACACTTCAGTAGGCTATGGTTGTAACCGTATCACTGAGTGTCTTCAACCATTGATTGATAGAGTAGGTGTCACGCGCCTTCCAGGTTGATGCCCGAAAGACTCCGCAAGTGGTTGTTTGGAGATGTTGAAGGATTTGGCAGCGAACCGACAGCAGTGGCGTTCTTGTTGTTGTTTGTTATCATACCAGAATGCTTGAAACGGTATGTATGCAGAGTTCGATTGTGCACTCTCTGTGTGTTGACCATAGTAACTCACCTTCCCCCTCTGTCGAGCTAGGCCCAATCCCCGTCCACCTTGGATTTTACCGTTAACCTTGTATGCATTGCGAGCTTGGCGTCGATCAATGAAGTCTGCTTCACCGTATTGCACTGTACGATGATGATGGTACTCCTGGGGTTCCCAGCTAAGGAACCTAACGGAACTTATGTGACCCAGTCTCAGGGTTAAGTTTTTCATACCAGCACATCAAGTTTTAGTTTGATCACCTTTGGCTTCGTTTCACTCGCTACCTGCCCCGGGGAAACATCGCGCACCGTGGCAATATATTTAGTGCAACACGCCCCAACCAACGTAATCTTTGTTGATCGACCTCCTACTCTATTAGGTGACCGCGGTTAACTAAAACTCTGCACCTAACCTCACCATTGCTTACCTGGTTGCCCCACGAGATCCGTGCTATGCTGCATAGATAGCCATGTCCGAACAGTTCCTTCTTGTATCGTCATTCATTAAATCTCAGGCATTTTTCTGAGGTAATCGGTTGCCTTGTGGCCCCAATTCAAAAATTATTTGCGGACTCGATGACTGTTTAAGGTTTAACACCTAACCGACTGGCCGTGTACTTGATGTATATACGTTTCGAGTTCCTGAAATCCCTTAATGGAGCGTTTTAGGATGTGCTTTATTTCTGAAATTTCTTTCTGGTAAACACAGTGGCGGTGGCCGGACTCGAACCTCGGACCATAGGATCCAAAGCACGTCGGTGAGAGCGGCACATGAAACCGCCATGCACTGTTTCTAAGGTTTTTGAGAGAATAATAATGGCACATTGAACCCTTGTAGCAAATATCAAAATCAACAAAATCTGAAGTATGTAATACTTCTAGTAAGATATTTCATCCTTACACTTTAGTAATGCTTTCTCACTGTCTTCTCATCCGCAGGCCTTTACATTTGGTAAAAAATCTTTACTTCACAATCCATGGCTTCTTGGTCGATTCATCCTGTTCCCCATTTACATGATTGATTGGACAGTATCGTTGGGCTTCGGATGCAATGAGGTAAGCCCGGTAGGAAGCAGTTGCGGTGTAAGTGACGGTTGGTTACAGCGTTGATAAACTCTGGAACACGTCTTTGGTACATAGCCACTTGTTATTTTAGACGAAAATCAGCACACAAAGGAATAGAAATCACAAATCACGGCACAGCACAGCATCATAATCAAATAGCTCTCCGTTCCATTGAAAGAGGAGATACAACGATTGAATGCGGGCACAACGTAGAGAGTTGTAACTGTAACACGTTTGTGGCACGGAATCAAACTGCTCCGTGGTCAATAGACAGAGATGTGTTGAATTTGACATCCACAATACTTCGTTTGTTCACATTTTTTATTGATTAGTGGTCAACCGAGTTGTGTTCGGCTGAACTGCAAGTCTGTTTCGTAAACCATAGAGGACACCATCAGAACTAACTGTCGGTGACTGCACAAACCATCTGGGCCAATTGTGGTTCATCAATCGTTTTCATTCTTACTGTTTGTTTTTCGTTTTGTCCTGTTTAATGTTTCTTATTGTCCTCCGTGTCACCCACTCGTTTTCGTGCCACAGTTCTATCGGATTCGACGATTCTTAAGACCTTACTTCCTCATCAGCGGATCACAAATGATGAAAAAGTTACTCAAGTGTATCCGGCGCACTTTGCCGAAACTGCTAAGGTGAGTCTACCTGACTGTTTTGTGTTTGACCTACGAACTGATCACTTTCATGCGTTGAACTGCCTTTACAATGCCATATCAGTGAAAAAACTTTCAAATTCATAGTTGATGACCGAACAATGAAGCTAGAGGTTGTGCGTTTCCAGACACCAAACGATGCTCTAGTGTAATCATGCCATGTTCACACTGGCGAGTTCAGACTGTGTGCCAAATAGATCACGGTACAATAGTTTTTAGAAACATATGAAAGATTCATGATTTACTCGAGGTTACAGTACTGCTAGGTTGACCAGGCTAACGCAGGTGAATTTTCTTAAGGCATTGAAAACCGCAGCCTTCGGTTAACCCAAGCCTGACTCTCATGGCAACGGGGCTGCGTGTGTAAACCGCAATCCATTGGGTACCGGTGTCCAGTTTATCGGATTATGCGTTCAATACACGTCGGTGCTCAATTGATCAGGTGGCTGCTACCACGACCAGGAGGATGCGTGCGTGATTTGTACATTTCTTCTTGGTAGGTTCGTAATCAGGGTTTTTAGCCAACTCTCCTAGGTAAACTACCAGTGGTTCACCAGCCCGGTTATAGCCTCTGATATTGGCTTTTCGTCTTTTACTTTGATGAGGAAACGTCTCCGCCACGAGAACGCAATGGGCAGGGTTTCCTCAGCAGAAGCTATTTGAGACATGGAAGACATAATCGCACGGGAGCATTTCGCGGGTGCAAAGGAGCGGTAACCAACCGCAACCCCAGACACCCATCGCCGACCCTACTGAGGCTTTCGGATTGCGAATATATGCAAAATAGCACATACATGAACTTGAAAAGGGTTCGGTCTATTTCTTTTCTTGAGTTAGGGAATTTAGATGAAATGATGGTGCAAAATTGATGCCGTAATTTGAACTCACAATAGTATGAACTAACGAATTAACCAATTGGTCTAACGATAAAAAGGCGCTGGACATGTTTCTCTATTCGATTAGTACAAAATCATTACGACTGTGCCAGACCAATAGATTTTATGAACTGAGCGCATGCAAAGGTTGCATCGGGTTCAGTGAACCCTACGGACTAGATACTGATTCTATCTCCTCACCTTATGTCTTTTTCGTTATAGATCTGTGCATGGTAAATAGTGACCCTCGTACATCTGAATTTCTTTGCAATCTTAGTCGTCATGATCTCTCTTTCTTTCACTTTGACACTCATTTGAACGTTGCAGTGTTCCCGTTACTTTTTCGTCCAAATAGGAATTCATCAGACGAACCAAAACCGGCACCCAAAAGCACATGGTTAATTGTAGTAAAAAAAGTGATATATATATATATATATATATATATATATATTAAACAAGTAGAATGTGAATGGCTGGACAAAATTTCTCTGGAGAACACGACCGATTTCGCGGTTCTTGTCGCTGTACCGGATACGCATGTCTAACGAGCGTAAGGAATCGCGAAACCAGTCGTGTGCTTCCAGGGAAATTTTCTCTGGTCAATCATATACTACTTATTATGAAATATTTACAATTGTGATTTATACAATTTTCAGATGTGCTCATATTTCAGTTAAGTGATCAGATAGCTGTTGATTGTTCGGACAGATGTAATGTTTTTTTGCTTGGTTTTGTGTTTATCCTCCATCCTTCCCCGTTCGGTTTTCTCTCCACAGTACTTTGTTTCTCCTGTTATGCTGGCTCGTCTCTGCAACATTGTTTGCCCTTTGCCTTTTCGCACCTATGCACCCGCCGAGTCATGTGAGTAACCGTAATTATCCTTGTCCTACTCGCTTATCGCGTCCCGTCAACTTG